CCCGACGTTAAAGGTCTTAAGGTCGGTGACCGTGTCGGTGTCGGCGCTCAGATCTGGGCGTGTCTGAACAAGGACCCGTCTGCTCCATGCAAGGAATGCGCTAGCGGTGACGACGCCTATTGCGCCCACAAGGTGTGGACGTACAATGACACGTACAAAAGCGACGGTGCCACCACGTACGGCGGCTACGCTGACTACGTGCGTGTTCCTCACGAGTACGCCTTCAAGATCCCGGACAACATCCCGTCGGACGTTGCTGCTCCGCTGCTCTGCGCTGGTGCGACTGTGTTCACGCCGCTGAAGGAGGCTGGCGTGCAGCCCGGTAAGCGTGTGGGTATTGTGGGTATCGGTGGTCTGGGTCATCTGGGTATCCAGTTCGCTAAGGCCATGGGCGCTGACGCCGTGGTGGCCTTCTCACGTTCGGCCAACAAGGAGAAGGAAGTGCGTGACTTGGGCGCGACGGATTTTGTCAACTACAGCGACGAGAAGCAGGCCGTCGCTGCTGCTGGCTCGGTGGATGTGCTGCTTGTCTGTGCTAATGCCGACAACATGCCGTACACGCTGTTCCTGAGCTTCTTGGCGGTCCGTGGCTCGTGCATCATGGTGGGTCTGCCCAACGATGATGTCAAGTTCAACGCCTTCGGTGTTGTGGGCAAGGGCGCTAAGTTTGTGGGTAGCAACATCGGTAGCATCCAGGACATCAAGGATATGCTCGAAGTGGCGTCCAAGAAGAACGTCCGCGCTGTGATTCAGAAACTGCCGATGAGCAAGGTGAATGAGGGCATTAAGATGGTGCGCAACGGCTCGGTGCGCTACCGTGTTGTGCTTGAGAACTAGGCGTGGCTGCACTGATAATGTACATGTAAGGTTCAATACATGCGAATAGGCCACCTTGATAACGATCCATAGACCCGAGTCGTTCGTTCAAAGCGACGATTTGGTTCGATCCAAGCGGGATCCACTCACCCATTAGACACACGGGGTTGGCCAGTACAATAGCTTCGGATAGTGTGTCGCGGATGTTGGATTGGCCACTGGCAGCCTCCAGTGCTCGATGAGCATTCGAAGACAATTGTTGATACGCTTCTAGACTGCGTACACATTGTGGAACGAAAGGGCTGGAGACGTACGACACATCCTCAGTCTCAGTCACTCCGGAGTATCTGAAATATCCGATGGATTCCAGAATAAACCGACCTTCTTCGTTAAACTCGGGTTCTTCTTCATTAATTTGGATCTCCCCACTTACTCCAGCCATGAGGTGTTTATCACTTCCCCTTGTGAACGTCCAAGCAGGGACGTTTGCTTCTATTGTTGTATTGGCATCTGGAGGGTCTCGAATCGGAATGTATCGGATTTTTAGGAGTTCTCGACGATAAGGTTTCGGAGCGAAGATAAAGGCATCGACGTTGGCCTTGAGTTCCTTACTAACTTGAGACAACAACTGAAGTCCACGCAGAGAAACCTGGAACGCCGTCACTGAGTGATAATCCTTGGTCGAGAGCTTTAAACCGTTAATAAGGTTAGCCTCTCGTAGATCGTCAATAGCGGATTTACCGTCTTGTGTTGTGTTCATCCAGATGCGCTTAGGCCTTCCCTCTTGTGCGATGACCATAGCTGCAGGTGCGTAGTCGAAGTTCAAGGCTCCTGCAGCGATACCCTCGTACATTAAAACTAGCAACGGGATCTGACGAATCCACGACTCTTTATCCTCTTTTGTACGTGCACACACAGCGTATCTCGACAGCATGTAGAGCAGCATAACGTGGTCGGTAGGCCACGTCTCCCGCACCGTCCGTCCAGTATCGTCGCCTTCTTTTGACAGTTCTGGGAGTGTGAAGGTCAACTCGTCCGTCTCACCAGCGTCTTCTTCACTAGGAGTAGCAGACTGGGCTGCTTCTCCCTCTTGAAGCTTCGAGGTCGACCCCGATGACCCGCTTTGTCTCGACATACGCGACGCCACTCGCGATACGCTATTGTTTCTTGCCATGGTTTGTCGACGATACGGTTGAGTGGCAACAGTACCGTCGGGTGGTTTGAGGATCCCCGAATTGGTACGAGTGTTAAGTTCTGGTCTGGGAGATCTCATTCGAGTCGACGTAGTACGTGGAGACTGTTGTAACGGAGGATG